TGATAAAGGAATTGCTTTTTCAATGAAGTAATCCTTCAAAACATGAAATATTGATTCACCTTTAGGGTCGGTTATCAAAGTTCTTGCGAAGAGCAGTTCTTCGTAGATTTCTTGATTCATAATAAAAAGAACATATGCCAATAATAATGCTGCATTATCAGGTAAAGTTGACTTGTCCAGTTGTATAGAGAAATGGGTCGTTAGCAAATAATTACATAAGAAGCTTTCAATATCAGAACTCATTTCAACAATACGTCTTTCAACAGTATTGTTGCTTAAGAGAATTCTTTTAATGACATCAGATGCAGGTTTGTGTAAAACAGTTTTTAAAACCTCTACAACGGCTGGCAAAATTAACTTCTCTTCGATAGTATGTGGTTTTCCGGATTTTGCTATAAGTAACGAGATATTGTAAGATGCCCGCAAACTATCATCGTTTCTTTGTGACGTCGAAGCGAACATTCTGTCCAGTGTAGGTCTCTTCTGAAGTTTATCTTTGAGTGTTTGAAAGTATTTCAAATCTTTCTCTGTTTTATCAGGGTGGCATCTTCTCAGATGATCTTGCAGTTTAGATGGTTTCATAGCGTCATTGCCCAAAACTTTGTTGGATAAAAGACACATAGGCAATTGTTTATCCGGCAATGATGGAATGAAGCCAAATTTCAAATAATCGACACTGTACTGTCTACATTTCTTTTTAGATTCAGACATGGCATCAGTCATCTGTGGGCAAAATTAAATTATTTAAATAAGACTATTTTTTGATTTTCCGAAAACATTCCATAATTCGAACATCTTCTTGCAACAATTAGCTCGAATTGCGGAGATTGCACTGTAATTATAATACCTATTGCTAAAACTTTCAAAAAGAAACTATTGAGGAGTACTCGTGTAATTTTGCATGATTAAATATTAAACTACTAATCACTAAAGTCACGATTGGCGTAATTTATCTATCTCTGCTAACTACGAGTACAAAACTAAAATTTAATAAAAAATAATGTACTTACTTTTCTCCAGCACTCTCAAACAAAATAACACTGACTCACTATAATTTGTGTGATATACTATCTGTTTATATTTTTTAAAATAATTTCTTAGCACTTTCCTTTTCAATATTCAGGAAACGAATAAACGTATTTGTCCCACATTCGTATTTATAGAGTGAAGAATTGAACAAGTCAGTGCAAGGTAGCGAAGCTCTGAGACTGCTCTGAGACTCTCAGGTTTTTACAAGTTCAAAATGTATTGCGGCCACAAAGCGAATACCAACATTCTACAACTTACACAATTTTATAAACATATATAATGAATTTTTTACTTCATGGGTACTTTTATAAATAATGTATATGTTTTGATATTATAAGATAGTATGATGTAAGTAAATAGGTACTATCAGTGTGTGTGTTGAGATCCACTATCATGGACCCCCATTTTCATTTCATTGACCCTCAAATTTTTCGCTGACGTAGACCCCTTGCAGGTTGTCATAGACCCCTAGAGGTCGATATAGACCACTTTGGGAATCACTAGTTTAGGCTGTTTAGCAAATTGTCGCCATTTTAAGACCTATATTTACAAAATTTTAATTGTAACTTTAGAAATATGAGACATTAGTTTTAGCCTATACCATTATTTTCGGTTTGACTAATGATCACTGTGTCCCCATGTGCAATCATATTCACTGATTTAGTTATTTTTTTATTTTAACCTATACAACCAATATTTACTTACCGTATTTAGTATTTCGTCCTTATATTATTTCGATATTTTGCTGGCGCTGCAATTTTTTGATAGAAATCATATACAAGTTTACCGTAAATATAATTTTGCACTTTCAATTCACCAGTTATCACCGTCATAACTCAACTGCAATTCGAGTAATAATAATATATATATAAGTATATAATCAACAACACGTAAAAAAATTAACGCACTTTGAAAAAGTAGTTTGTTCAGAATCGTTTACTGAATCGATTTCTATCATTTTAATATAGATAATTTTTTATCCCAAAAATAATTAAAACTACGTAAATTACAGTCACACTAAATCTTTACAGTCAAAACAAACTGAAATGGACCGTAACTTAAGGTAATAAGACTTTAAAGAGTGCAGTTTTATTTATATTATTACAAATTCTGTCATTCAATAAAAATAAAGAAAAATTAACTTTATTCCAAGCTCGTTAAAGTCTTTGCGTTCGTGGATTTGTACTGTGACCACAACATTCTTCCGGAAATAATATAACTATTTTGATAAATAATCAGTGCACAAAAATGTTTATCTAAAAATTCAGTGTATGTATTATGAATTATGATCATAACATAATATACTAATTGGGGTGTCTGAGGGTGTGCGTTAATTACGGTACATATTGTATATAGAAGTATACTTCCTAGCCCTAAAACCTTCTCAGAAATGAGGGGAGGCCTGTGCCCAGCAGTGGGACGTATAGAGGCTGTAACTTTCCCAAATTAATAAAATGAATGAAATTTTGTCGCAAATTATAAAATCTGATAACTTCTTCACATTTCTAGGATTAATAATTTACTAAAGATAATTGAAGGTTCCTTACTTTCTATTTCTAACTTGCTAGACTATAAATGCTATTCTATTTTCCAAGGTAAATGTTTTGCATCCCAGCGTTATTAGCCCTTTAAGTCTTTATAATGAATTAAGCAAGCATATTTTTACGACCTTAGGGTTCGTGACAGTAAAAACTGCCGATTGAATTACCAAAATCGACACTTTAATTACTGAACACCAACTAAACCTTAAACACACACTAGTAATTAATCACACTTAACACTTTAGTTCACTTTATTTCGCTCCGAAGTCTTCGCTTGTGTCGCCAATTCAATACTACCCCGGTCACATCAAAGCGCCGGGGGTATGTATATATATTATATATATATATATATATATATATATATATATATATATATATATATATATATATCCTAAAACCCTCACAAATACGAACTACCGCGGCATTTTGCTCTAACACGCATCTTAAGAAGGCAGTTCTTCGTTATATCATCTGGGTTTTTTTTTAAAGGAATTGTAAGATGGGACTGGAATGTTGATAGGATTCAGTATGTGTGGACTTCAGGTTGTAGTGAATATAGCCTAATATATTTGGTATATAAGTTTCAGGGATGTTCAATGCACAGTTTTACGAGTATATTTACTAGGAATACACTGTACAACGATATTTTAGTGAATGAGATGTTTCGCTCTTATTTTATAGATAATAAGCAATAAAATTTTGGAAATAAAAATTGTTACAAAATTAAGGAATTTGTTTTATTGGTGATTAAGAATAGCGTTATAATTATAAACAATAGCACTGATTAAGCAGGGTGTACAACAAGTAATAGATAAGTGTTAATGACGGTGTTCAAGAAACAATAGATAAGAAGAAAGGTTCGAGAACAATGGAAATGTTAATGAGCGTGCACGCCCACCAGATATCAATTAGATATTAGTTAATTGATCTGTACATCTCCGGAACCGCACATCCATCGCAAAAAAAGAACCGCAGATACGTGATCAGAGCATGCCAAAACCTTTTTTTTTTTAGGATTCTTCAACCCACCGTCAGCCGACGAAGGCTGGTTTGTACCAGTTCTGGCTCATGAGCCAGAACTAATACAAACACACTACTTATTCACCAAATGTTTGATAGAAAAGCAAGTAGATCTTTACCATATCCTTTAAATTAAAAACCAATCTTATGAAATAGACGCAATGATTATAACTTCCTTAACTCAAAATAATATGTCCTAATTAATGGTATTCCTTCCAGTTTATAACAACCCTAATTCATATTACATGGTTGAAATTAGGTACGTCTATAGAGTTTTATAGACGCCGCACCGTCAGTTAACTGATCATTCCAACTGATTAGTTCAAACTAAAACTGTTGATATTTATTATAATATTGAATTTTCGATATATCTGATCAGTTGGAATGATCGGTTAACTGATTTCATAACAGACACTGAATTCAACTGAACAGTTGGAATGATCAGTTGAACTGACCGTGTGTCGCGACCATTAGAGTTTTCCCAGATACAGAACTGTCTGTCATTTTTTGCAGAGGAAAATCTGCGCACACAAAAACAATGACTTAAACTGAATGACTTAAACTGAAGTACTATAATCTATTGTGTCCTTAAAATATTTACTTGTGAGCTAGATGAAAAGAAGATAATTTTTCCTTTATTATATTAAATACCCACTGAGTTCATTCGCATAACTTTATACAAATAAATATAATCAGATCTATTGTACTCCTTTTCATCTTCATCATCAAAGTAGCACTCTATAAACTGATGGCAAACACCGTCCAATAATATTAGGTCAGGGGTGCGAATACCATAATTTTATAAGTAGGGGAAACAACTTAAAAAATTTAAAACTTAAATTGAAAATTTGAAAAAAAAACTGCTTACTTATATAATTATATACATTCTTTATTATACACCAATACACATTAAAATGAAACAAAATGAAATATATAATATATAGAAGGTACAATAGTCGGTCTTATCTTATCGCTCTGGAAGCGATTTCTTCCAAACAACCTTCTTGCGCAAAGACAAAAAACTGTTGTTTACAACGAATAATAAATAATATTAATATATTAATAATATATATATATTCCAATAGGAAAACTGTACAGAAATTAGAATTAAGTTAAAGAAAAAAACAATATACACAAGATAATGTCAGTTGCGGATAGGTTAGGATAGTTAGAATCAATGACGGGAATTACCTATGATGGGAAAATTAGAGGTCCAAGTAATAAGCTTTGAGTAGATTTTCTATTATATTTTTACAGATAATAGCTTCGAAAATATTATAAGTAAAATTTGCAACCCTATATCCAAGTGACCCGAGTTTACTTTTATTCACTTCTAGTCGGTATCCATAACATCTAATAAAAGTTCTGCTAAAAAAGTAAAGTATATATCAAAAAAATGTAAGTACTCACGTAAGAAAAATATTCCAAAGATTTGTTTTTGTCACTTAACCAGTAAAAAATACAGCGATTTATTTAACTTTTGATTGTAAGAATTTAATTAAAATGCACGTGTAGCGGTCCGTAAACAATAATAACAATTTTCGTTAACCATTCGCCGCTATCAACCGACGTGCTTCATGGAATGACAACGACTAAAACTAAATAACATTACGCCATCTTTGCACCGAATCGCGTCAACAAGCAATTCCGTCCGACCGTCCGTGACGTCCGATTCGACTACGATTGTGCGAGAAGCGATCACATCATATTAACCTATTCCACACATTCCCCAGTTCCCCAGTCCTCAATTTCCCTTACTTCCATTTAATTAGTCACAGAATTTTTTGTTTTAAAATTCATTTAAATACTACGATCACAGTTTTAAGAAAACAAAACAATGTTTAATTCGAAAAGCTAATTAAATGTAATTTCTAAAAAAAAAAAATTTTTTTTGTAAAAATGTAAACTCTTCTCATCAACCTTTCACCCTTCTGAGGCAAAGGCCATTCTTGAGTTGAAAAAAAAACCATATTTACATAATAAATCCCGCATCTGACGAATATCTCTAGATTTTTTAAAAATTTTCAGTTGTATCGTAGAGTCATTGGTAGTGGTACCTACGGTACACTTTCATCTTCCATATTTGTAACAAGTTCATTTACGCAATAAATACCGTAATAGCACAAAAATAAAAAAATAAAATACAATATTTTTACACAGCATAATATTGGAAAATACATTTTGTAGATATTGTTGTACTTAATGAAAGTTATTTGATAGATTCAGGCGAATATTTCGAGTGTATGGAATCTTGAAAATTGTCGAAAATATTATCAAAACGTCTATAGAAATATTCTAGAAGTTTTCCGGAAACACTGCATTGTACACGCATATTGCGCAATTTCGCAATATTTATTCTACACCCATTTAAAAAAAATATGAATAACTATCTACCCGCCCAGCTTCGTGCGGGTGCAATTTGCCTACATGTGGTGTCGTTTATGTTTGAAAAAAAAACAGTGTTCGATCGATTATGAGATTGTCGCTTTGGTATTGATAATTTATTCGGTGCTTTTTCGGAACCGATACGACTTAGAGATCTTCAAGAAACGAGCTTACTCCTTTTTAAAAGGCCGGTAACGCTCCTGCTTTTTCCTGGTGTTGCATTTGTTCTCTGACAGCGGTTGACATGTTGTTTAAGTGAGTCGCATGCTCGTATACCCCTCATCCTATATCCTATATCTTCCATTAAAAAATCTGAATTATTTCATCATTATTATATTTAATCGTAAGCGTACGCCTTGAATTAGAAACATACTTAAATAATATCAAGTTGGTTAACGTTAACGTTCATTGGTTTGAGTAGTATTTTTATCGTAAAACATAGATCAAAATACGATCACGACTTCCTTTCATTTTTCCTTCTTTTTGTAAAAACAGGAGCAGCAATCGTTATAACTGATGTTTCACGATTAAAAAACGCGCCACTTACTCCATCTCATATTGATGTGGAAATTAGTTTTTTTTGGTCAAATCGTATGTTGAACTAGATTTTGCGAAGCTCGTACCCTAAAACTAATGATTTTACAAAATCAAGGTCGTTACACAAACACTCCGTTACAAAGCTATGAGATATTTACATGTTTACATATATACATACACACACATACATACATACACACACACACACATTCATACCTACATACACATATACACACATACATAGAGACACATAGACATCATTGCAAAAATAGCCAAAATAGCTTTCTAGGACCTCGAAAAGTCGAGATCTGATGAGAACTCGATTTTAAAAAATCGGGGTGAAAATAATAACTCTCATTTTTTAAAAATCATTGATTTTCATAGCGGAAAGTTAAAAACATAATTAAGCTTGAAGAGTGTCTAGAAAAAATTCATTGACCGCTTTATTAAAAGAGATTATGGATGAAGTCATTCTTATAGAAGTTAGGAAGTGGTTCAAAAAACTACACCGATATTAAGAAACTTGTGGAGAAAGATTATAAACAGAACAAAGATGTAAATCGTGAACATCACGAGATATAAGGGAATGCGTGGATCAAATAAAATGGAGAAAAGGGTGCGCTGTATCCTAGAAGACCTACGTTGTTGAATAGGCAACCACTTTAGTTCAGTGCGGAACTCAGAAATATGGTCAAATTTCCTGAGTCCAAAAATAAACTTAATGTATTTTCTTAAAAGTTGTTTTAGTTTATTGACTAGAATTTGATTGGCATCAGACTAACAAACATCATCATAGTCGGTAAGGGGAAGTACCAAGCACCAGTAATGGTTTTGAACATGAAGGCAGAATTTTAAAATGGTGTAAATATTTGTGTGTATTTGCAACCTTTTTACATACATTCGTAATACGAGGAACCCAAGATAACGAGCGAGAACTTTTAGGACTTATCATAGACATATGATAAGGCCTATATAGGTCCTTAACATGTGGAGATTAGGGAATAATTGACCATTAAAGATGATGGGAAGAATAGTGTTGATGTCAAATGTACTCACCTGGGAGCTACCTTTTATTGCTGCCTGGCATTTTACAGAATTAACAAGAGTACCAAACCTATTGACCAGTTAAGTACATTGGCCACGTCATGGTTTAAAAAGGAAATTATATTGTTTAGCTCAACTAATTATGCCTGGGCATAAAATTGCAAATCGCGTGGAAGTGGAACGCCAGCACCAGATCACACGTTTTTAAGATTTTACCTGCAAAATTTCACTATTGCACAATTCGGGTGGATTAAGTTTCGGTAATAGAAGAAAACGGACACCCTACTTTGAAATCCAATTTATATGGGCGATCCAGAGGGCTGCTAGAAATTGAAAAATTCTGTTGGGAAAACGAACAGCATCTTTCTGGTCGAGAGCAGTGTGTACAGAGTAGATAATTAAGTAAGTTACCTTACCTACTTGATCGTTTGTAGGTATATACTCGTAATTACATAGTCATGTAATTAATCGAGCATCATTATCCCGGCGCATGTTTAAGCCAAAACTCTGAGAGACATGATTTGGGAGCTCTAATTTGTAGATTCTATTGAATATTGAACATCAAAAAAATATTTTTATCTCAAGAATATCCTATACTTTAATAATGATAAAATACATTTTCGTTATATGCTTTACACGTGAAGAAAAAAAATCATTTAACGACCGAAAAGGCTTCAATATAATCCCCAATATCTCCGAAGTTCTACATTATTTTGACGTAAAATTTATACCAAAATAATCATCAACATTTGCTTAAACTATGCTATGATTTTTACTTTTTAAATCGTTACTATTATTTTTTAATTAATCAACACCTTACCGCATGAATTATGAAATAGTTGGAACGAAAATTCTTTTTTTCCAAGAATTTTGCTGTGTTCGACATACTTACGGGTGACGAAAGCTGGATTTATTGTTATGATCATGAAACTAAGAGACAGTCTGCTGTCTGGTTGTTTCCTTTCGAGGAGCTGCCAACTAAAGTGGAGAAGTCGAAGCGTGGGAAAAAAGATGGTGGCCTCGTTCTTCGGAAGGACAGGTCATTATGCAACAATTGTTTTAGAGGATCAAAAAACAGTTACTGCAGAATGGTACACTAACAATTGTTTGCTACTTGTCTTGGAAAAAGTTCAGGAGAAACGACCTCGCAATAGGATCCACCTTCACCACGACAACGCCTCGTGGCACCCCGCCAAGCAAACAATCGACTACTCGAATCGACGACGTCAGACGTGGAAATTACTGGGTCACCCGCCCTATAGCCCCGTCCTCGCTTTTTTTTTGCGATTTTTATTTATTTCCGAAAATAAAAGAAAAACTTCGAGGGAAACGTTTTATGGATGCCGAGGAAGCGGTGTCTGCGTTTCAAAATGCCGTCGAGGAGATCCCTAAGAACGAGTGGGCAAAGTGCTTTTCTCAGTAGTTCTATCGAATGCTGCGATCTATACTAAATCTATAGCTTTAAATCAGAGGTTCCCAAACTTTTTTGTGGATCACTTTCAAAGTTTTACTATTTTCGGTAGACCCCCTGCTGCTACATTTCTACTGTATTCCCAAAACTCCTAAAAAATATCACCCCAAATTGGGGGTGTTAAGAAGGAAAAAATGTAACACATATTCTGGTGTCCTATTTATTAAAATAATACTTGTGATTATACAAAATTATAAACATTTATTATTACAAACCATCAACAATTGACAAAAAATCAACAATAAACTCTGAAATGTAATTCAACAATAAAAAATAGGCATACTTTTAATGAGACGGATGTACTTAATGAATTGACAGCAAATTATCAATATTTGGCTTCAGTTTTGTAAGAAGAAATCTGAAATCTCCCTGTTCTGTGATGTTCAATCTGCTCCTTTTTTTTGTTAACAGGTTGGTAAGGGCACTACAACTTATTTCGACGAGATATGACTAGGGAAACGCAATCAAACATTTTCTCGCAATTTCCCACAGCCCAGGATATTTTTCGGCGATTTCTGCCTGCAACCAAAATGTTTGATAGCCTTTTTTAAATTTCACCTTTAGTTCCTCGTTGGTGCTGAGCTTAAATAGCTCCTCTATTCGCTTTTTTCATATCATAAAATGGGTTATGATCTGAATGGTTATGATCCATGGTGGTATTTCCATCGTCAGAATATCTTCAAATCTATCTTTGAAGTCATCCTCATCAAGACATTCTATCTGTGACAAGTGCGGAAACTGGGAGAATTTGCGCCGACTAATATTTTGCTTCATTAATTTCAATTTACCAAGAAAAGCCGAAGGTACACCCTTTGTTTTTTATTAAATTAAGGCTGTCCCCTTGTAACTGTTAAGTACGTAATGTCCGCTTTATATTTGATCAGATTTTCTTTTAAATCTGATGCTTTAGTTACCAGATACTCTATTACTGATTAGAAAAGTGAGTAAAATCTCGACAAGCATGCACCTTTCGACATCAAGCGTACTTCAGTATGTATGAGCAGTCGTTGGAAGTCTTCATCATTTTCATCGCACAATAGTGCAAATAAACGGGTATTCAAAGCATTGCTTCTTATTTTATTAACTGCGTTAATCACAAATTGAAGCGATTGGTGCAATCTATCACTCAAATTTTTCGCTACAAGGTGTGGTCGGTAGATGATACAGTAAATTGCAATTAGTCCTGGTATTATTCTTTTAAGAGGATAAGCATCTGCTGTCACCGAAATAATGTTTGTAAATGGAATCGATTTTTCTGTAAAAAAAATCACTCAGAACGTTAAATACCTTTAGTGTCCGACTTCCAAAGTTTCCGACTTCCAAAGTTTGTGCGAATAGGCTCTTCATGGATTTCTTCGTCCTTAACTAATCGAACATATGTCAATAGTAATGCTTCATTACCATTACCAGGCAAAGTAGACTCGTCCAATTGAATAGAAAAATGAGTGGTTTGAAAATAATTACACATGAAGCTTTCTATATCAGAGCTCATTTTATCAATACGTCTTTGTACAGTGTTGATACTTTAAGACGATAACTTGAAAACGAATCGAAGTTTTGGAGGCGTGGCTTATTCCTTTGTTGGTGAAGCTAACGGACGACTGAGGGAGTGTCAAAATGAAAGTGATGCAATGACTTCATAGTACGCAAATTATGAGATAGGCATACCGAGCATTTTTATTTATTTTAACAAAACTTCGTTATGGATTAAAAAAACTGGTTTATGAGAACTTAGATATGATAATTTACTATGCCTTAAAAATAATTCCATGAACTTATTCGTAATAATATTGTGGTGTCATTGAGAAATTTAAATAATTAGAGCCTAATTTGCCATATTTTTCTATCGAGATAATTAAATGATATCGTGTTTTCCTTTTATGCAATCCAAGGTCATATAGTCAAAAATCATGTACCAAAATTTTGGTTTGTAATCTATAAAACTTAAAAAAATATGTTAAATAGAAAAACCACCAAATTTTCGAGATATCACCTTAAGGAATTCTTTTGAGTCACACACACAGTCACTTTTGAATCACGTCAAATGGAGGTTTGTGCAGAACAGTTTTTAAAACCTCTTCAATAGCGGGTAAAATCAACTCTTCTCCGATGGTGTACGGCTTTCCAGTTTTGGCTATAAGCAACGAAATATTATAAGATGCCCGCAAGCCATCATCGTTACTTTGAGACATTGAAGCAAACATACCATTTACGGTAAGTCTCTTTTCATATTTATTAATTCATTCATTACGTTTATTAATTAATGTTTGAAATACTTTCAAACATTGGAGGAAAAATATGTAAATTTAATTAAAGTAGTTTTGAATTGCCGTCGTCGCGTAAATATTTTTAAACAAAAAAGTACCTAGGCACCTAAATTCTTCCCTGATTTTTGTTCTTTTATAGAAGTTTTGAATAATCTCTAGTATCTAATTTTTACTGCATATCTACCTACTACACTCAAATAGTATAACAAATATAATATGATTGATAAATTACAATATA